GCCCTTTCTAAACGGTTTACAGAGTCAGCCTATTGCCCCCAACAATCTGGGTTCTCATTTTACCGATCTCGGAAGGATGGAAGACTGAGCCAACCTTGAGCCGGTGAGATTTGAACTGCCAAACTGCTGGCAGCTGGCAAGCAGCAGAAGTTGCCTGCAGTACTGCATTCTAACCACTATGCCACCACAGCATATTTAGTATTTGTCTTGTAAGCTCTGAGTTGGTTCCTCCTGGGCTTCCATGTGAATTTTAAAATGCTAATGTTAATTTATCTATTTACTACTAAAGCTCTTAGGTCTGTCTGTTTGTAACCTTCAACTGGGTGAAATAGTGCATTGTAAGGCAACAGTTTTTGAACCAAGGAACCTCAAATGGGCGAACATGCAGAATGCATCCAAAATCTAGGATCATTACACTCATAGGATTGAAATTTGGAAATGTTGTGCCCACTTCAGCACTGCCATGCTGTCACATTGCCGTGGTCAGCTGTGGTCACATGAGGTCATTGCTCTGATTGCTTCCCACAAGTCAGTGGGGAAGCCAGAAGGACAGGCACTGGGGAAACCCAGGTCCTGGTTTGTCCTTAGCCATGGAAACTCACTGAGTAACTTTGGGCCAGTTACTCTTCTTAACCAGGGTTGTTACTATGGGGAAAAACCAGGAGGAGGAAATAACCTGTACAACATTTTGAGTCCTTATGAAAAGTGGATATAAAATTAATTAATAAATAAAGGTGATAAGGAAGACTTGGAGATGTAAAATTACAAAGGAACTAAAAGTGCATTCATTCATCTTATATTTCTTGATTCCCCCCCCCCCCCAAAAAAAAATGATTGTATCGCTTAGATGACTGAGGCAAAAGCTAATATTTTTAAGGGTCTTTTCTTTTGCAAATTACTTGGAGAAATGTGTGGCTTCTCACAGGAGCAGGAGATGCAGAAAGAAAGTTTCCATGCAGTTTTTCATAAAAGTTCTCAAAAAATTCTTTTAAAATGTAATGTTACTTTTTTAAAAAAAATTCCATGGATCGTTTAGAACAGTCAAACTCAGAATATATGATTTGCAGATTTCCCTTTCCAATACTCACATGGAATTACTGTGGAACTCCGGTTTTTCTGTCTGTTTTCTTCCTTTCTACCAGCTTTCTGATTCTGCCAGTTCCTGTATAAAGGCAGTCGCTAAAAAAAACAGATGTACAAAAGAAAAGTTATAGTTCAGCAGAAATGCTAAACTGTATCTCACCACTATACTGTGCTTACTTAATTTTAAATGCCAATCAACTAAAGTGAGCAGAAACCAATTGGCAATGATGCAGAGTATTAACATTCCCACCCCTGTTTAAAATTAAAGTGTTAGTTTAGCAGTCATTTGCTGTATTTATTTTATTTTATTTATTTATTTATTTATTTATTTATTTATTTTTTTAAAAAAGGTGTCCCTATGGTGGTACTAATCGTGGTTGACTGTAGGAGATAGTGTTCATCGTTTCAAGGTCATGTCATGCTGTTCACATGGCCAGCATGACATCACAGAGTGCTGTTAGCTTCCCACCAAAGTGGTACCTATTTATCTACTTGCATTTGCATGCTTTCAAACTGCTATATGGGCAGGAGCTGGAGTGAGGTGAGGACAGAAGCTCTCCCATTACGTGGCGCTCAGGTCTCGAACCTGGGCTGCTGGCTTTCTAGCCGACAAGCCGACAAGCCCAGCATCTTAACCATTAAACCACTGCATCGCCTCATTTATTTATATCCCATCATTATTATTTTCACAAATTTTCACTCAAGCCAGTGAACATATTCTTCCTCATATTTTCCCTGTGAAGTGGATTGGGCTGAGAAAAGAGTGACTGCTCTAAAGTCACCCAGCCTGCTTTCAAGGCTAAGGTGGAACTTGAACTCATGCTTTCAAGTCTGGTGCCTAAACCACTAGACCAAGCTGGCTGTCTCTGTATGTCCAGAGAAAGAAATCCTATTTACCTGAAATTCAGCTTCTAGCAGAGATGGATCATTGGGAGAATCCTTTTTCTTTAGCTGGCTGAGATAGTTGGGCAGTTCTGAAACAAAGACTTCCGTTTCGCCAAACTGGACATATTCAACCAAAGCATGGTGGATCAAGATGTACTGTGCCTAATGGGTCCAAGGATTGCAGATCTTGTAAATGGTGGGAATGGAAAGTTGCAGCAAAAATGGGACTGGTAATTGAATCAGCTCAACATTGCATAAAGTAATATACTGTATTTGAAATAAAATTCTTTCAAACTCCCATAGCATATATGTTATAAGGGGAGCTTATAGGAACTCTGTTTTTAAAGAGTTTCCTGGACATTAGTCCCTTTGAATTCTATGGTGGTGGTTGCAGAAATGTATACAGTTGTAGGCAGGTGAAATAAAATATCACCATATAACAAAGGTGAGAATTATTTCATACATTACAGAAAGGCAGTGCTAATTAACCGAACTCTTTAAATATACCTCCACTTGAACCATGAGGCATCGCTGACGTCGTAACTTTGCAATATACCCGTATACATCAACTCGTCCTTCAGCTTCTAATGCCTCCAGCATTGCATCAATTCCAATATAGGTTCCAGTGCGTCCTACACCAGCACTGTCATAATCATAAAAAAAAATAATAATACAATAAGCATCATTCAAGTTGCTGCTGTTAAGATTGACAGATGGGAAACATGCGAGATTTGTTCTTAAATCAGTTCAACTCAACTCACAGAGAGTTTGATGTTTGATAAAGTTATTCCTCTCATTACCCATTGACAATATTCCTTTTATTGTTTAAATTGTTAAGTAAAGTTAAGCAAATATATTGCTTCAATTGTTTAGTAAAGATTGTGCGTTCGTATCACTATGCAGCTTTTATCAGTATCATCTAACTGGATGTGTAAAGAAAGATCAATTAAGCACAAGCTTATTGAGGAAAACTTATTTTACCTGCAATGGACTACTATTGGGCCACTAAAAAAGTTGCTTAAAGTATTGACTCGGCGGCGCAGCTTGAGCAGGAGATGGGGATCATCGGGCACCCCATGATCTGGCCAGCTTGTAAACTGAATGTGGGTCACATCTCTTCCTGCTGACTTGTCTCTTCTCTAGAAAAAAAAGTCAGTTTATTGTCAGTTAAACATCAAAAATTCCTTGTAGCAATCATTGATTAGTCTGACATAGGCCAGAGGTGAACAAGATTATGAAAAGCCATCAACACACATTCATCCCATGTTCATCTTGGTTAAAACTCCTTCAAGATAATCCAGTGTTAATCACCAAAGCAAAAATCTACATAGTAGGGCAATAGATATGGCAAAGAAAATGAGACAGGAATCAATAAACCACTGGTTCATCTCATGATTCTAGGCATTTGATATTATAACTATCATCTGGATATTACATGAAATGTCTCATAGACAAGTATCTACTTCTGTCAACCCTATCAGGTAGACCAGACAGAAAATCAACTCCACAGGAAAACAAAAAAATATAGCTTATATTGATGTAGGCTATAATAACGGAACCTTGCAGATCTTCTTCTTATACTCCAGTAAATCAGGAAGGCATTTGCCTGAATTCCTTCCAGATATTATCTTATTTCTCAGTACCTCACGCATGTTTCAACCCTCTTTGCCTAGGTAGAGTTCTTGCATATTCTGCCAAGGTCATCTCCCTTACTTTCTACAATTATTGAACAAATTGTTACAAGTTTTGGTGTTCTTACTTACATGGTTGATGTGTAGCTTCTGAATTATGTAATCTGGACACACCTTGCATTCATTTATGCTTACTATAATGTCCCCATAAGATGCAGTCTCCTCCTCCATTGATGGCCAATACTTGGCACATTTGATCTATGGAAATTCAAAGATGCTCAATTATTTTAGCAGGATGGAACATACACTTTCTACTTTATTGCTAATCAGTTGGGTAGATTTTCAGTTTGTCTTTGTTATTGGGTATATCACTCAGTCTAAAGACACTTTTACACAATGAACTAGCGCAAAATATATTTAGATTAAAAAGAGCCCTGGTGGCACAGTGGTTAGAATGCAGTATTGCAGGCTAATTCTGCCTACTGCCAGCAGTTCGATCCTGACTGGCTCAAGGTTGACTCAGCCTTCGAGCCTTCCAAGGTCGGTAAAACGAGGACCCAGATTGTTGAGGAAAATATGCTGACTCTGTAAACTGCTTAGAGAAGGCTGTAATGCACTGTGATGTAGCATCTAAATCTAAGTGCTATTGCTAGATGGTTGTATGCTACATGTCAAGCTTGGCCAAAGCCAGGTGAAGACACTAAAGTAGTTGTTCACTTTTATTCCTTCCAGGTAGCATCAATAAAAAACAGGTCTTACCAGAAAAAAATGGCAGCAGTTCAAAATAAGTTTAACATTCACATCAAAGTGAATAGACCAGCGTAGGCTTAACATTAGCATAGGTAAGAGCTATTTTCTACTCTTGTTTCTCCCATTCCAGTTCGGTAACCAACTTTTCATTGAAATAGATTAATTTGCTTTAGAATACAATTAATAAAACAAAAGGCAAACTGCTAAACCCCAAGGACATTATGTATCATTTCAAGTAGCTTATAGCAAAGACGTTTCCTATTAAATTAATCAGCTAAGCCAATTATGTCAACTTTCACTTTCAATAGCCATCGACACACTGGAATAATGGGTGGTTTAAAAATGGGGGGGTTCCCAAGTAAAGGAACTAATAAATCACACAATGGATATTTTTATCTCACCTTGCTGCCTTCCTCACAGCGAGTCACCATGACAACAATGGTTGCTTTTTGTTCCCAGATCATTCTCCAGAAATCGTCTATTGTCTCTTCCTTGGGACCTGACAAAAATATTACTTTGATCACATGAAACATTTCAAGGTAATAATTAGGGATGGGCTAATTTGTCAACTGTAATGTCACAGAGTTTCCCTTTCTCCAGCCCTAAATAGATTGCATCTCATCGCTTCACTGGTTTGTAATTGTTTTTCCCGCAGCACGAATATTTCCAAAAGTGTTCCTTTTTTCTGTGGTTATCAGAATATTACTTTCTCCAAATTGAAGTAGCATGGTGGAAATATGCATGCAAATATTCATATATTCATGCATTTTTGTATATTTTAATAATAATCATTTATTAAATCTGTATGCCACCTGATTCTGAATGACATTTTTTCCTCGTGTAGATGTGTTTTAGAAGGAATTTCCATTAATATACACGCACATGAATTTAATTTTATTTACAGGACTCCAATCAGTTGGTATTTGTCTCTAATATTGCTTTATTTCTAATTTAATATTTTTTCTCCTTGTCTATTTGTTTTATACTGTTTTCAATCCATTCCATTTATTTTAACCAAATATATTTATTTCTAATTAAAGAACAGAAATTAAAAAGATAAAATGACATTTATCAACGGTAACCTAGAAACCACCATTTCAATAAAACCCAAGGTAAACCCACTCTTTATTGCAAACATTGACAGTTTTTCTATAACAGAAATTATATGCAACAAAAGAATTCTGTTTAGGTTGTCTCTTTTAGATATTATATTATTTTTACATACTCCATACACACAAACACACACACACACATACACACTCAAATACACACATATATTTCACTTGGAGTACGAAGTAAGTATAAATACATACTCCATACTCCAAGTGGGAAAAAAATAAAATAAAATAAAATATGAAGGGCCCTTGGTGGTCTCTGAGCTGAACCAAGCTCAGAATGCACCAAGGAGCCCTCATTTCAACCCTGAGCTACAAATATTCTCCTTCATTGGAAAAATAAAATATTTACTATTAATTGCTACTAAATTGAATATCTTTAAAAAAAAAAAAAACAAAGAATGTGAATTTCAGGTGTCTTGGGTTTTTTAAAAATATTTTAAACTATTTTAATTGTTTTATGGACTTTGTTAGTTACCACGACCCTGTTGGAATGGGGGCCATAATAAATTCAAATAAACAAACAAATAAATAAATAAATTCTTAGAGATGTTTAACAAGAACCAACTAAACTTGGCTTTTTTCCCCAATATGACAATTCGTTAGATACATTTTTGCATGGCTTTTTTTGTCATAGGACGCACCGGAACAGAGTCCCGGCACCTTTTATCAATGGATTTTCAAGAGTTGTGTTCTTTTCCTATTGGTGCCCTTCCTATCCTCGTTTGCTTTTCAAAAAGCCCCGCTGGTGATATGGTGCGAGCGGGGTCCCCTCCGGCGTTGTCTGCCTCCTCCAGGAGGAGCCATGAGGCACTGGAGCACCACAGCCAGAGTGTGGCTTGATTGGCTGGGTTGGACCATGTGGTGTGGAAGCAGATGGTGGCGGTGGGAGACACGTAAACACAAGAGAGTGAGTGAGCCTTTTGCCTTCCCTTACAGAAGGTAGGTTTAAAAAGAGGCAAAGCGAGAGGAAAGAAAGGCAGCTGATGTGGAAGCTTGCCCAACAGCGAAACTTTGCTGTTTCAGTTCCTTGGGTAGTTCAAAGGCTGGGATGTCTATGAAAATCTCTTTTTAGTCTTTTATACTTTATATTTAAACTGCAGAGGGGAAGAATAAGAATAAAGCCAATGTCTTGTGATTTGGAGGTATTATTACTAATAATAATATATATTAATTATGTATTGGTCAGATGTAAAGGTAGACCTACAGTATAAGGTTTAATCAGATCTATTTATGAAATTGGGTTTAACTTAAAGGTAAATTAAAAGTAATCTGTTCACTGCCAAAGTTTCAACTTTAATTTGTTTCAAGTCAATATCCACATTAAACTCCAAATGCAAATTTTTCCACCTTGTTTGACAACTTCTTAAAAATAATTCAATCTTTTACAAGCAACCAAATTTTGTTTTATTGGGCCAATTTCATTCCACATAGAAAGCTGACATTTCCACTCATTAAACTAAATGGGTATGCCAGTGTTAAATGTCCCAAAAGATTAATAAAATGCCTTCTTGTAATTTAAAGCCACATAGTGCACGGTAACATTAATAGTATAAATTTACCTTGAACAAAATCCTAGTCTTTTAGATACACTAAAAATCGAAGGGTTTTTTTTGTTCAACTACAAAGGTAAACATCGTAGGGTAGGCAAGACAGGTTGTATAATGTGTGTGAGTTCCAGCACCTTTTTTTTTTTTACAAAAAAAGCACTGCATATTTGATTATCTTTGTACAATCTATGGAACTGATATAAATTAATCCCTAGTGATGGTTACCGTGAACCAGATAAAGGTAAATCTATAGAACTTAAAAGTTTCTTATTTTGCCTGGAAGCAACTTTCATTTTAAAAGTTGCAATTTGCCCAGAACATAAAAGGAACAAAGCAAAGGCGATATAATTGCATGTCCTTATACACATAAGGAATGTGTTGCTCTCTAGAATAGAAAGAATAATGGATGGGCAAGTCGTGATGTAAAATGGGAAGGAAACTTCCACAGCTATACAGGTACATACCAATTTGTTTTATGGTATGAAAGGGGCCACCAATTCTGCTTCAGAGACAATAGAGGTAGCAATGATTGTATTAATTCATTTCTATGTGCAAAGTCAGAAGGATAATACAAACCTTGCGCAGCAATGTATTTTCTCATTTCTTTGAAACCCTATGATAGAAAGTCACATATAAGAGTTAGAAGATGATAAACAATGTCTGACTATGAGTTTGCACATTTCGAATGAAAGTCACTCACATCGATATAGCTTGCATTTATGTAGTCGTATCCCTGCTCCCCAGGGCTTGAGGTAAGCTCCACACGGTTGTAATCGTCTTTTCATATGGAAACAAAAATCAAGATCAAGAATGTCAATCAATATTGTCAGTTTGGTATAATTTTTGAAAGCGGGCAGGGGAGACAACAACTTGAAAAGTTCACGTTTGCATGATGTGCTTACAGGGCAGGATATCGATGTAGCGGTTTTTGTTCTGGTTAAAAGGCTTGCGTGCTTCTTTTATAGGGTATTTACTGAAGACTCTGGGAATGCTCTGCAAAAGACAATATCCATCTGAGCAAAAAGCTTTAGGTAAAAAAACAAATTCAGAGAAAGGGTATGAGCTACTGAATCCCTGTTTTGGTTTTTGTTGTTGTTGTTGTTGTTTTTGGCGGCTATTCTGATTCCAGTTTTCTATTTCCATTTTGATTAGCACAAGACCCAAATAATTCAGCAGGATGTATTTCTAAATGAGCCTAAAACACAATAATTGAGGCCTATTAAATAAATAATGTAATCTGAACAGAGACATAAAAACGCTTATCTTCATATTTATATACATACTTCAGATTATTATGAAGAGACTGTTATTGTATAGCCCAGGGGTAGGCAACCTTGGCTCTTTTATGACTCGTGGACCTCAACTCCCAGAATTCTTGAGCCAGCATGACTCAGCATGGAAACCTCTCCATTTCTCCTCAGCATGGCTGGCTCAGGAATTCTGGGAGTTGAGGTCCACGAGTCATAAAAGAGCCAATGTTGTCTACCCCTGGTATAGCCCTATTCAGTCATATGTAATCTAATCTCCCTGAAATTGAAAGGAAGGTTTTTTTTTTATGATGCTGCAATCCCTTGCTTTGGGGTTGAGTCAGGGCGACTGATTGGAACTGAGCGTTTACTGGACAGATGCCTTCCTGACGCCTATGCGGAGTTTGCAGCAGACAATTACTCATTGCGCCCAGAGAGAAAGATCTGCTGCTACCTAGGATCGAACTCACAGCCTCCTGATTGTGAAGCAAGAGCTCCATCTCTGGGCCACCAAGCCGCTCCCTCATATTGAAAGGGAGTAAAAGAATGAAAATGTATGAGACCCTTAGGGTGGGAACTATCTACTAAAGAAAGCCAACCACCAACACTCAGAGACCTTCCTTAGATTTTCCATTGGGATACTAACCTGAAATTCATCCAGAAAAAGCCTTCCTTCATCTGCTATTTTTCTCTTATAAGTCTCCCACAATAACTCTGCAGGAATTGGGTCTATGTTCTTCATGTGTCTTTCATCATCTTTAAAAGAGGTAGAAATACTTCCAGATAAGCATATGTGCCTTGCTTCTGATAGGTATAATGAAACAGTAATTCAATACATGCTTGAGCACATGTGTCCATATTATTGAATGGGTTTACTGCCTGAACTCAATGAGCTAAGCTTTAAAACTTACCCCCAAATTATTCAATTCAAGGGCATTTGATTCATTTATGGCATATGCATTTAAACTTTCACAGTAACAGTGGAGAAGTGAATAAAACATCCCTTAAAACTAAAAGGATCATGCAAGTGCAATTTATTACAACAGTTTTTCCATCTTCCCTTTAGGATCCTTAAATTTGTCAAGATTGAGACCACTGAAATGAAAGCAACATATATTTTCTTGTAATTATTGCTTTTTTGCAAGAAAAAAAATTATACATGGATATTACTTGTAGATACTGTTTTTAATATTCTTCAGTGGTGCTAATTGCATTTTTTCTTTAAAAACAAAATCCCTATGTAGGAACAAGGGCTTAGAAATTTGTTTTGATCAAGGATCAGGAAAGAATTAGTCCTTTTCCACATATTGTATGTTTTTTTTGTGATGCTAATCAGGCCACATTCTATTTACAATTGAGCCTGAATTAGAGCAAGATGGCTTTTATGTCTTATTGAAGTTGGCCCTCATTTACAAAGATAAACAGTGTTTTTTAGAGTACCTAGTTTAGCACATGTGTTCTTTGTATTAGAAACTCTTGAAAAGACTTTAAAGAAATATAAAATTATGCTGAATAAAGTTTAAGTTCACTGCTCAAAATGACATCATAATAAAGCTAAAAGTTCATTTCTGGACAAAAGAGAGAGAATAAACTAAATAAAATAAAGAGTGGCTGTCACTTTTCACTGTTATTTTTACAATAATAATGAGTGTGTGCAATTCCATTGATATATAGACCATGTATCCACTGATGTAAGAAAGGATGATGAAAGAGGCAACAGTGGGCTTAAGGTTTCTTTTTATTGTATCTTAGTTCAGAAGTAGGCCAGCAAAACTCATCAAGGTAGAGAATTCCATGTAGCAATGGAATCCCTAGGAAAAAAAACTTTGGCCCCTAGAATTAAATATTTACCTCTGGTTACAAGCCTTACTCCTTCTTCTTCATCTCTGCAAAAAAATATCAAGAGATATGACTGAATGCTGAGAACGAAATGTTACTATTTTTCAAGACCTTTTAGTACACTGGTGTGATCAGAATGTGAACACATTAAGCATTTTTTCTAATTCTGCTACTCCATCTTTGAAAAACAGCAAGTTCCCTCCTGCTCATATAAGACCCGGAACAGCAGAGTGTGCTCCCCTGATACATATTAAGAACTATTTCAAATGGCAATTTTTTTTTTTAGCTAAACTTGACGACAGCCTCACCCCCTGACATACAACTGAGCATATTCCTGATCTACGTTACCCTGGCTTTATGTCATTAACTGATCCCCCTGGAGATCACTTGAAACTGGTTTCACTCTATTTGCAGATCCTAAGACAGGCATAGCTACAATGCATGGCTCAGATCCTTTTACCAAGGTTTGAACCCACAAAACTTTACATGTGATGATTGTGTTAAGGCAGTGCACTTAATTCAAGAGCTATCTTGACACTTGGTGTCAAGAATTGGGAGGAAGGTCTATATATTTCATGTACATAATAAATACACAGAAACCTGGGTGCTTATTGGGAAAAAGTGGGGAAAAACAAAAAAGGACAGGAAAATGAAAGGTCATCTCCTGGAAGAAAACTTGATGGTTGGAACGGAATCATTCAATCAGCATTCTTTTAAATGTTTAATGTAAGTACAGGTTCATTATGTTCATTGACCGATGGATTTTTTTTAATATATAAATTTAAAATTATCAAGTTCGAAGGAAAATAAAAACCAAAACAAAAGGCAAATAAATGAATGAAGTACATAAAAGTTACTTAAGATACTAAAAAGAGATTGCAAATAATATTAAAGAGAAATAAATTCTAAAAGTAAAATATTATTTGGGTGTTAAGAGCTAAATTAAGAAGGCCAAAATATTAGTACAGGTAGTCCTCAACTTCAAACATTTGTTTAGTGATCGTTTGAAGTTCCAACAGCACTGAAAAAAAATGAGTTATGACTGGTCCTTGCACTCACAACCATTATAGCATCCTCATGGTTACGTGATCAAAATTTAGACACTTGGCAACCAGCATGTATGTGCCATGGGGTCACGTGTGATCACCATTTGAGATCTTCCCAGTTGGCTTCCAACAAACAAAGTCAGTGGGGGACGTTAATGACTGTGTGTTTCATTTAACAACTGTAGTGATTCACTTCTGCAATGATACACTTAACAACCATAGCAAAAAAGGTCATAAAATTAGGTGCAACTCATTTAACAACACCTTGTTTTGCATCATAAATTCTGGTCCCAATTGTGACTATAAGTTGAGGACTACTATAAAACTATACCCCTCAGAAAATCAGAGTGACAATGAACTTCCATAAAATCAAAAGAAATCAATCAACTGAGAGGAGGGGGAATTTAAGTGTAGCCAGTTAAAATCTGGAAGGCATTGGTTTCTGTCTTGAACACAACTGTCAGTAATTGTGATAATAATGAAACATTCTTTCTATAATTTTGTGCAAAATTTTCTCCAGTGCAATTTACAGTGGTAGTAATGGGACAGACCAGGGCGCAGTTTTCCTATCAGTGTCATACACACTTAGGAGAGCAAAATAATGCATTTTACAAAGCTACCTTGAGTTCTTTCTGTTAAGGATGTATATTTTATACAGGACAAGAAGTAAAGCCAAAACTGTTACAATAATCAGGAAGGCCAAGAATCCAATGACGGCGTTAGTATCATCTGTAGAAAGAAATGAAATGAAACAAAGAGTTTAGGAAATGTCAACATTTTGTTATTATCTTGTATTTTCAGTATGCAAATTAAACTAATCAGGATTTTTTTAAAATGTTAACATACACTTGGTGGTTATTTCTTTCGATATTGGGTCTGAAGAATAATGTCCATTGGAAACCAATACCTGGTAAGAAGAAGAAACAATAAATGTAGAGATTTGAAATGCGCCCAAAATGAACTGTTACATAAATCTTCCAAAATTTTGTATGAAAGCCATATCTTATGAAACCTTCATCAAGAATATAAATGTCTTAAGGGATGTTGTAAGGAACAGCTCAAAAATACAAAATAGAAATAAGAAAATAAATATTTCACCCCATCCTCATTTATGAAAAAGGAGATAAAAACTTAGATATTATAAAACATTTGCAACAGAGAAGCTGCCCAAGTGTTCAGTGCCAGGGTTAGGGTTATGTTGACTTAATTCTGAGGAAATGGCTAAGGATGCTTGGCTGTTAATTAATATATTATTTCAATTAGCAATTTGACTGTACTCAATTTTGTTCTGTTTAAAATGGCTGCAGGGTGCCCCTGACCAGATAAGGTTGTAGTTACTGCATCTGACCGAAGAGATAAAAGATACACTTGGTCCTTGAAACCACTTGTCAATTGACAACCATTAATGACAATGATAGATCCGATTATTGCTAAGTATTGCTCCTATAATTCTGGAGCAATCCACTCCAGAACAGTGTATCCTGAAATTAATCATCAGATTAACCAAGCATAAACAGTGTTTTCAGCTTGTCTGCATGTCAGCCCTCATCCAATCCATTAGCCTGCTGAAGGACTGATTCAGAATATCAACTTAATTTATTATTATCTCAAAATCTTGACTTTACTGATGAGATAGACAGACAGACAGACAGACAGACAGACACACACACACACACACACACACACACACAGACAGACAGATATACTGTATTTCAGGGGGAAAAGGTGAAATATCTCAGTCTCAAGTTTAGAACAATGCAACTTACTGTAAAAGTGTACGTTTTTAAAAAAGAAAGCTTGTCCACTGTGAATGTGCAACTGCTGTTCTTCTTTTCATCATCACCATCCCATTTTAAAATATACTGCTTGTCAGGTCCATTTAATTCATCTGGTCCCGTACAATCAACCTCTACGATATTGTGTGCATCTTTGGATAATCTTAAATTAAGTTTTTTCAAAGGACTTGGTTCTGTTGAAAATTAAAATGGTTTTCATTAAGAGAAAATAAGCAGCGCTAAGAGTATAGGAATCCGAATGCTCCAACAATTTCAGATAGTCCCTGTTTAATGGCGGCAATCAGTTCCTAAGCAAAATGGTCACTAACTGAAGATGCAATTAAGAGAAAGACAGTGATGGATGCTGCAAAATTCACTGGTTGCTACTGTTTCATTCAAATAAAGTTCTCTTGTACAGTGTCCTGTGTTTGACCTTTTTTTCCTCTTTTTTTGCTCCCTTTCAGGTCAGAGAGATTGCTTAAACAAGCTACAGATAGTCCTCGACTTACAACAGTTCCTTTAGTGACTTCTCAAAGTTACAATGGCAATGAAAAAAGTGACTTATGACCATTTCTCACAATTACAACCTTTGAAGCATGCCCATGGTCATGTCATCAAAATTCAGACGCTTGGCCTTCTGACGAGCAAAGTCAATGGGGGAAGCCAAATTCACTTAACAACCGGGTGACTAACTTATCAACTGCAGTGATTCACTTAACAACTGAGGCAAGAAAGGTGACCAAATGGGGCAAAACTCACTTAACAAATGTCTCACTTAGCAACAGAAATGTTTGGCTCAGTTGTAGTCGTAGGTCATAGACTACCTGTATCTCTTTCTGAGTTGTTTTTCTCTGCAGTGCAGCAGTTCCATAAAAAGTGCTAACCACAATTAACAAGCTCAGCTCTGTGACCTTAATGAGTTGATTAGAATCCTGGATCACTGGCTGCTGCTGCCTGAAACTGACCAAGCCATAATCAGTTTTGCACCGGATATTTTTGGTGGTCCTAAATGTGTGCATTGGTTGGGAAATGAGGTTTTTTTACTACTGTTTATTATAGGTAGTCCTCAAGTTATGACCACAACTGAGTCTGAAATTTCTGTTCCTAAGTGAAACATTTGTTAAGTGAGTTTTGCCCCATTTGACAACTTTTCTTGCTACGGTTGTTAAGTGAATCATTGTATTTGTTAAGTAAGTATCATATTTGGTAAGTGAATCTGATTTCCCCCACTGACTTTCCTTGTCAGAAGTCCACAAAAGGGGATCACGTGACCCCGGGACACTGCAACCATCATAAATATGAACCAGTTGCCAAGCATCTGAATTTTGATCACGTGACCATGGGGATACTGCAACGGTCGTAAGTGTGAAAAACAATCATAAGTCACTTTTTTCAAACTGCTGTAACTTTGAATGAACTGTTGTATGTTGAGGATTACCGGTACTGTCACATTTACAAATGGTCCCTATCTAAGGTAGTTGCTAAACAAGGACTATCTGTACATACAATATACTCTCCTTGGTGCTACCTATATTAATTATAGATGCTAGATACAGCACATTCAGAAAGTATTCTGACCCCCTTCACTTTTGTCCATTTTGTTATGCTGCAGCCAGATTCTACAATTGTTGAAATTCATTTTTCCCCTCATTAATCTACATTCAGTACCCCATAACGTCAAAGTGAAAACAGAATTTTAGAAATGTCTGTAAATTTATTGAAAAGAAAAAACTGAAATATGCTGACTTTCTAAATCACTTAGAGTGCTGGAAAGCACTATAAAGCTGTATATAAATCTAAGTGCTATCGCTATTGCTATATAGTTGCTCAACTCACACATAGTGACTCCAGGTGGCATACATTAAAAATCCACAGTTAACAATTCACAATTTAAACTCCCACCTCTACCACCTTGGTAGAAACAACAGAATCAGACAAGCTACTTAATTGGTTCCAAATAGGGTCTCCAAGCCTTGGATCAAATCATGTGTTCAATGCCTTGATTATACTTTGAAATTGCATTTTTACACTGTGATTAGCAATAAAAATTATATTATTGGGGTTGGTTGCACAGTCTGACAGCTGTTTAGGACAGATTAGATGTTTTTTCTACACCCATCGAGTCTTTTCCAAGGACCTGGGATAAGCAAAAGTTGTTTCATAATATTAAAGTTATCATTACAGTATGTAAGTTGTTTCAAGTAAAACTGTGTTTTGCAATTGATTGGTTGTGATTTGGTCAATGCCAGTGATATTTAAGTAATGCTCCAGATGTTTTGAGATTGCACCCAAGACGCTTACTACTATTGCTACTATAGTTGTTTTCTTTTGCCAGTCATTCTACTTGTATTTCATGGCCTTTGTCTTTTGTGATTTTTCTCTAGCTCTTTCTCTTTTATTCTGCTCTCTGCCGTGTCCTCTAATCAGTCTTTGTAATGATTGTCTTCATCAAAACTCTTAAAATTATTTCCATATGGCATCTTGATTCCTTCTGTTTTCACTATTTTTCCCCTACTGATGATGAGGATGGAACGTTTGTCTAGTCCAAACTCCATTGCGATACCCTGGTTGTGTATATGAACAGTATTGAGCAGTAATTCTATTTCAGATTATGTTTTTCCATACAGCTTCAAGATTATCCATGTTAAGGAGGTGGGTTAGTCTAGCAGGGATTTTTTAAAAAAAATATTTTATAGCCAGAGCCTGACTTGTTCAATGCTGTTGACAAAGGAATCGGTGCAATGACAGATAATAGTAATGAGTCACCTTGAAAGTTTCCTCTCTTCATATTAACATCTCCCAGTTTATCACTCTTGATCAGCAATTGTGTCTTCCACTGTGCCATTGATCTTTTCACAAAGTTTCTGATGTTTTTACGGAGTCCTGTTATTTCTAGGCACTTGATTATCTAATCATTTAGCAGGGAGTTGAGCACCTTCTTGTAATCAACCCAAGCTACATTCACGTTGGTCTTCCTTTTCTTGCAATTTTCCAAAACTTGTTAATTAGGAACTGATCTTTTGTTCTTCTGTTATTTGGGCGGTTTCCTTTCTGCTTATGCAGAAAGAGCATGGTTCCAACTAAGTGCTGTTGGATTTCATCAGCTACAACACCAGTTAGCAATTTGAAAGTTGTTGGTAAGCTGATAATTGGCCTGTAGTTGCCTGATGCTGCCCATTTTGTTGGACCTTTCATTATCAGCTAGATTTTGTCAGATGTTAACCAATCCTCAATTTCAACTTCTGGCAATATGTTGTTAAACTGTTTGGCAATGAGTAAATATAGACCAATCAGATGTTTCAGCCAAAAACCATGCAGTTCATTTTTATCTGGTGCTGAACAGTTCTTGAACTTCCTTGCCCTTTTCTCCACCATTTATGGTGTAATTATAAGTTCTTTCATTTCAGCTTTTTTTTATTCTATTCCACCTCCTTTATCTAAGCTGCATTCTTGTATTGTTTTGGATTGATCCATAGCTGCACCCAAAACTGCACTGTTTCTTCTTTGTCAGGGGTTGACTGATTCACTGCAGACTCTCCTTTGATGAATTGCTAAAAATGTTTTTGATTTGACTGAAATTGGAGATTTTGCCTATAGTGGGCAATTTGAGATTGATATCACTGATCTTCTTGACTATAGTTTTTATTTGATGCTTTATTATTTCCAGTGCTTTCTTAATCTTTCTTGTTTTTAAGTGATATTTCTTGATGAGGTATTCTTTCATCTTCTTGTCCTTCAGCTTCTTTTCTTTTATCTGTTCTAGTTTGCTTTCATCTGATCTTAGCTTGCTGATCTTATTTTCCAATTTGGTGATTTGGGGCTTTTTTTCTTCTTTGTTAATTTTGGATCCCAGGTATTCAATTATAACTTCAGTCATGCTGTATATTAGTTGGTTTGTTTCTTGCTGTGAGCAGGTGCTTAAATTTCATATTACAGTATTGGTATCTTTTAATACTTGGGCTAGTTGTTTCTTTGGAAGAAGCCTCAATGTAACCAATCTAATTTTGTTGTTTTGTGCTGTTCTAGATGTTTAGTTACACTTTGTTTCAATTCTTCTGAAGCGAAAGCAATGAAGAAGTGCCTGCTTTGGGAATGGAAATGATTCGGTAGCAATGCTAACTGCTTCTACTGCTGACTGCTTCTGATTTGCTTCAACAGTCTGAGGTACTTCTGGCAAGGTTTCAATTTTTTTGTCATGGTTAGACATTTGCAGTTCTTCCAATTCTGCTGCTATGAATTCTTTATTTCATATTATAAATTGAAGCTGAACTGCTAGCCTCTGTTCTATTATTTCTGATTCTGAATGTTGTTGCTTCTAGAACTGGTACATTCTTTTCAAATATCCTCTTCTTGTTACACTTGATTTGTAAATAAAGCATCGGATTCCACTGGATCACACTGCAATGATGAACATATGCCAAATATGGAAAAGCAAGGACATCAGCCTGGAAACCAAATGTAAGATAGTCCACTCTATTGTATTTCCTGTAGCTACCTATGGTTGTGAAAGTTGGACCTTAAAAAAGCAAGACAGGAAGAAAATTGACTCATTTGAGCTGTGGTGCTGAAGAAGGCTCCTTGGTCAGCAAAGGTGACTAACAAGCAAGTACTGGAGCACATAATATCAGACATGTCACTAGAAGGCAGAAACACAAAACTGTGTCTCACTTACTTTGGCCATGTCATATGGGGTAATTTACTGGAGAAAGCAATTATGTTGAGTGAAAGGAAACCAGGCTGTCAAATAACATAATGACTGGACACCAGCCAGAGCAAAGAAAAACTCAAAGAAGTAGTGCAAGACCAAAAGATGTGGAGAGATCTGACACATAGAATCCCTGAGAGTCGAATACAACTGAATGGATAATATCATCATCCATCTGGTGGTAATGCTGTCTAGCCCACATTTTTCTATCTTATCAAGTAGTAGGTTGTGATCTACTTTGTCTAATGCCTTATTATCATCATAATTATTGCTTTGTTTTCAATCTTTGCATATTTGCAACACGTAAACCCCTTTTGGGACGCAATGTGTCCATGGTTAAAGATGATGAGCTTATCAGCCGGAAAGCTAACAGCTCAGGTTTGAGACCCAAGTGCTGATCCTGAGTTCCCATTACTTGCCGCAGCTCCTCCTCACCTAATAGTTCAAAAGCATGGATATGCAAGTAGATAAATAGGTACCACTTGAGTGGGAAGATAACAGTGGTCTCTGCACCTTGGTGTATAGTCATGCTGGCCACATGACCACAGAAACGTTTTCAGACAATGCTGGCTTCTTCTGCTGGCTAAGAAACAGAATGAGCTCCTCCCCCTAGCATCGGACACAACTGAGAGGGGAAACCTTTACCTTTAAATACCTTTTCTTCTAGTAGTCCTGCAGCTGCTGGCCCTGGTTGTTCAGCCAACAGTCCTGAGTTCTGTGCCTCATTTGTACACATGTAGAATACACATGATGGCACTTTTTATATATAACCATCCAGAGTCGCTGGGAGTCAAATAACATATAAATTTAATAAATAATACTAATATTATATATTATTGTTATAACCTTACCCCCCAATTAAATATTCACAGATAAATTTAAATATTTACAATTAAATATTCACAACTTACTTGTTGGGTGGGTCCTAATAGACTCAATGCAGGCTTTTCCCTCAAGTGGTGGGTGATTTTTTGTTTTTGTGTATGCCCGTACTCTCATTTCATAATCTGTGTAAGGTTTTAAACTGGTCCTTGTATATTGCATGCGATCATTTTTTTCAAAAGTACCTAGATATTCTGGAAATGTTAAAAGCATAAATACATTCAAATATAAATAATGTTGGTGCAGACACAAATTCAGAAATAATTATTGACATTTATTTTCATAAAAGGAAGCCAATCTCCCATTAAAATTGCCAAAATAAAGATGGATGAATGAACATATCAGATTTGATTTCTTATTTTTTCTGAATCCAGCAACTTTCATTTGCCATACTGAGATCTATTTTTTTTAAAAAAAAATTTGCACTAAGATTTCTATGTATTTTGATGTATACTTTTTCCAAACATATCCATTTCATTTGCAGTTTTGCATATTACAGTTTTTGCAATTTTCTTTAACAATGCAGTTATGAACATTGTTTTCACAAACTTACATTTTCTCTAATATATTTTTTTTAATTAGAAAACTGTAAAATGGTGGAATTTGAATGTTACCTAATTAGGTTCTACATTAATATGAGTTAGTTAGATACTTTCCAATGTAAACTAAACAAATTTCTTACCTTACCTCAGAATAATACTTTGCTTTGATTAATTTATCCTCAGTTGATTTTTACCTCAGAATATTTATTGTAGTTTAAAAGGGTTTTTTGTTTTGTTTTAGGTAATAATAAATTGTTCACTTCAAATGTGTGTAAATTACACACAATTACTATTGGAGTTAGTGCTGGAACTTGGAAGATGGAGAATCCAATTCCAATAAATTCTAGCTCTATCTATCATCTGCCTATCTATCTACTTGGGGAAATTAGTCTCCTAAGCAGCACAGTTGCTCATGAGGTTAGAACACTGGTCTGACAATTGGTTGGCTAATGTTCAAGACCCAGCCCCCAACTGGGCATTCCCAGGCAACAGTGATCTCACCAACAAATCTTTTTGCCACAGAAGTACTTCAGTGCTTCCGACATAGAAAAAAAATAGTCTCCTAAGGGAAATGGATGGATGGATGGATGGATGGATGGATGGATGGATGGATGGATGGATGGATGGAAGGAAGGAAGGAAGGAAGGATGGAGGCAAAGATGGATAGATAGATAGATAGATAGATAGATAGATAGATAGATAGATAGATAGATAGATAGATAGATAGATAGATAGATAGATAGATAGATAGATAGATAGATAGATAGATAGGATGAATGGAGGGACAGATAATTTCCTGCTCTTTCCCTCTGCTGAACTCCCAGCAACAATACTGCCTTTATTTCTATGTTGGTCTATGTGATAGAACTTTACTTGGAATTAAAAATAATCTCTCTTAATATTTCAGTCCACTCCTTTGTTCAAATGTTGAAAGACATGTTGACAACTCTATCTGTTGTCTCTATCTGTTCAATTTTATCAATATGAACTGGAGTGGCAACTGGCTTTTATACTGGCACCGACACAATGCACAAGCTGTGTACAGACTGCCAAGATATCTGAGATGTAGTACTGGTTGAGTGGCATCTACTGTCCTGCCCTCCAAGAGAAAGAGAATAATTTGAAGTCCAGAAGAAGTGGCTGAGGAGTAACCACTGTCCTCCAACAATATCTGCCATGCCTGTCTGCTAATTGAAACTGGGATGATACTGTGAAGATACATTGAGATCTACAGAAAGGAGAACTCCTTCAGTTTGAAGGAGTCAATACAAAATCAAACTATTTTCAGTGTTAGTGATCAAGATTAGAAAATTACTCTGAAAATATCCTTGAAATTAACTGTATTATTCATATTAACAGAGTAAACCTATTACTAGAAGAAGAAGCAAACAAGAGTAGCTACTTGTCAAGGTTTTTAACAATGATCCATCCAGAAAAAATTGAAAATATTTTTTAAAAATCCTGAAAATGCATGAGTAGGTGTTTTCAAACAATTGGAAATACGTATCAGTAGTACATAGCAATATTGGCAGTATTATTAGTATACATACATACCACCAGTTTTTGTATTGCGTACACTGATGCTATAACCATGAATAGGGCCATTTCTCTGGTTTTGTGGTGCACTCCAAGTAACTGTTATACTTTCAGCGGTTGAGTTTGATAAACAGTTTTCAGGTGTGTCTGGTACTGATACAAAAATTAATAGAAAATCAAGTAATGACAAAATAATGATCTCTGGGACATGACAACAATAAATAGAATATGAGCAATATAAACCATGACTACCATGACTTTACGGAAAGGAAATAGAACCAGTGTCCAGCAGTAGATTGTGCATTTGTGCAACATTATGTATTTCTGGAAAATGTCAGGAATTTCAGGTTTTAGAAAAGTTTATCAACTTCAAACAGAGTAAGAATACAAGACCAGTAAGTTCTATGTGGGGTTAATCAACTACCCACATAGACCAACTACTTCTCCAACTCTACTTTTACAAAACTTCTACTTGCCCCAGAGGTCATATTGATTCCTTAGGTTCAGGACAAGATGTATGGTGATAACATTTCTTGAGAGTTGAGTGGCATGTACTGTAGGTGTACTAAATTCCTCTTTCCACAAAGTACATCTCTTTAGAAATCACATATTGGTCTTCAGAATTTCCTGCCAGTTGGGCCCGTAAACAATGAATCATAAACTTTCATCATTTCTAATCAATTGCATTTTTGTTGGTGATTATAAGAGCAATTAATAATTCCCAATGACTTCTGATGGGATGAGATGAAAAGTCAACACATCCCATACTAAATCTGGCACAGGGAAGTAAATATGAGCAATTATCCTAAGATCTGTGTGCAGAGGGAGAGTATTTATAACAACAACAGAATCTCCAAGTTATTGAAGATTTTAGAAAATCAAAATACAAATGACCTGCATTCTCCAAGTAATGTACAATTTTCTTGTTAATTAAGGTTATGACTTATGATGCTATAGGTATATCCATCTAATGTTCTCAGTAGCAAATAATAGCATTGTCTTTTTCCAGGATTTTCCTAATCTAATCTAAAGCCTTGAGATTATTAATGCTCTTAAGATCAGCTAATCATATTTATATTGATGCCCTCAGACAAAAAAAAAAACCCAGAGGAAAGGAAGAAAGGAATAAAAACCCAACAAGATCTTAAGTATTATAAGTGATTTTTTTAGATGACAATGGCAAAAATTCTTTAAAACCTTTGGGCCAAATTAAAAGTAATTTTAAATGCATATTTGCACTTAATACGCCTGCTTTTGTTGGTCTTGAAAAGAAGTAACTTTTTTAAAGCAGTTACCTACACTGGGAGGAAATCACAAACTGTTGATCTTGCATTAATTCCCTTTAATCTCATTGTCCTGTGAAGACCACCAAATAATTTACCTTTACCAAAATCATCCTATGCTTTAGTCAGAGGGCTTTAATTATGGAGTCTTCCAACATAATTATAAAACTTGGTTGGATTGCAGTTAGCCAGGCAAAAGTAAAGCCATGCTTTTCCAGATATCTATGATGTCTCCACAGCATCTCCACAGCATTCGTTGTATGGAAACATTCACAGAATTCTAAGCACACTGTATCCACCAGCGATGCGATCATTGAGTCTGATCCAATAGTTCTGAAAAATCTTTTCAGGGTCTGAATCGGTTCAGTTATTCTCCATTAAAATTATTCAGATGTTGTTGGCCAGTAACACTAAAATGCAAACCGGGGAGAATGGCTCCAGTTTCCCTATGGACCTGGCTGCTTATAATGAACTTTGCTGATTTAGCATTATAGTCTAATATACCTTACTAATTATCAGTTATCAGGATCACTACACATACCTCTTCCTGTTGAAATACATGCAGAAATATTTAGTTTTGGGGCAAATTCAGTAAGTAGTAAGTAACAAAGCATAAGAAAATCATGGTGTGATACTCACTTCCATAGTCCGTTGTTAACTTAACTGTACGATTTATTGATTTATCATGAATAGTTGAATTGCATGTGTAGTTTGTGTTGGGTGACGCTTCAAATATATGCTCTGATTTATTCACATCATTACACATAATAGACTTATTACCTGTAAGGAATTAAAAAAAAATATTGCTCTGAAATCTAAGCAACTGGGAGATTCTACATCTTCAACAGTCTTGCCAACCCTGGATATAACTGTCCTCCAGATGTGTAAACTTCAACTCCTAGAATTCCCAAACTGGTATAAGTATCACTGAGAATTAAATTTAAATGCTCAAGAACATCCTGGGTTGGGAATTTTGATTTGCATGCTGAGCTTTGATTTGATTTTTAAAGAAGAAAAAAATGATTTGCTTTTCAAAGGAGAAAAGAAAATTAGATCTACAATGCAATAGAAATAATTCTAAAGACAATCCACCAAAAAGTTGCATCTGTACTACAGATAGTCCTTCTTTATTGGCCATAATTGGGACCCACAATTTGGTCATTAAATGAAGCAGTCATTAAGCGAAACCATGGCTGTGCTTATTATCTTGCTTCAACTTTCTTTTGCTTTACAGACTTTTGAAGGTCATAAATGTGAGGACTGATCACAAAGTCACTTTTCATCACTGTATAAGCTAGTTGCTCAATGAGGGCTTCCTATATGTACACAAAATGAAAACTCAAATTGTTTAAAACATTTTTATAATAGTGCCTTTATCTTTTATAAAGTGAAGCTCTTATATACAAAGTACTTTTGATTTCCCCATCAATTTTAGATCAAATGCCAAACTGATTCCTTTAAAAAAAAAATCCTACCATTTTGGAAGCAACAATATGAATATTTCAATTTACACCCATCATCAGTGTCCCAAAATAAAGTTATTGTAGTATTACTGTAAGTTTTATTCAATTGCTTGTTACCTGAAAGAGAGGGAGAGAGAAAAAATGAATTCATTTAAGTATTTTTCATGTTGTAAAAAATGCTGGAAAATTACCTCTTTATTTATGTGGGTCACAAAACTGTACAATGGATGAAACATTAACAAAGTTTTCAACAAACAAGAAAGGAAGAAGAAAGGTGGAAGTGTAATTGCAACAATGAGCAGCTCCTTATTAATCTTTTCAAAGAATCTTTTCTCACATTTAGATCACAACATTGGAAACTCTTTTTCTTCCATGGGCTGATAGACCTTGTCTACCAGCTCATTACTCTCCCAACGGGACTAAAGTATAAAACACCATTTCCAGGCAGAGAATAGGTTGTCTTAGTTTCTCCCATGCTTCTCGCCCTGAAATCTTCATCTGCCTACCAAACAGAGCTTGTAGGGAAGCTGGGATACAAGTTATGGGATGAGGGAAGCAGGTATATCAAGTGAAAGCAGTTTCTGGTTTTCAGCTGTTAAATGGGATTCCTGGATAAATTCCCCGAAGGTTGCTAAATCTACAGTTTTACATTTGAAAAGCAAAATGCCCCAGCCATTCCTATTTTAAGTCTGTTGCAAAATATTCTTCAAAGGGGGAGTGGTACTTGGTAACACTTGGGATCATGTCAGACAGGAAGGGAGTGTTTCTGAATCAGGAAATAGCTTTCTAATGAGTTACTACCAGCCCCACCTAGCTGGCAAATTCAAGAGTCGCTAGGATTTCAGGGAGGCATCTTTAGGGCTAGTAATGATAAAAACATAATTTTGAAAATTCCGATAGTCAAAGTAAAGATAAATTCAGGTTCTTGCTTAATGATGGTAATTTGGACCAACAACTTGGTCCAAAGTGGACCAAGTGATGCAGTTGTAAAGCATGATGCCCTGTGTTTGTTCTGGTTTACAATGGCAATTTACAGTTGCCATGAGTACATGAATCCCACATAGCTGTTAAGCAACTCATTTGTCTTGGTCCCACAGCATTAAGGCATGTCTATTCGGTCCATCTCATTTAACTAAATTTGATAAATTTGTACTATGTATTGCTAAGAAACAATATAGCCCCACCCAAAAATGATGTTTAATGCAGGATGTCAACGCTGCAAATACTGTATATTCTTGCTTTGACAATGTGCAGAACTGTCTGGTATATATATAGTTAAACCAGCAACTAGGAGAGAGGGAGGAGCATAGGGATAGCCCGGGAGAAAGAAACCGGAAGTAAATCACATCTTTCAAGTTGATTGGAAGATGTGAACCATGACCCTACAATAAGGGAGTGGACAAT